AATGACTTGTTTCACGCACATATTTTGATAAAGAAACTGAAAAAAATCGCATGAGAATGCGAATATGCACATACGTTACATAAATTTCAATTCATGCAACAAGCTAATAAATGAGTTAACTGGATACTCAGTTCACATTAGATAGATTAACAGTGGATCTAACAAGTAGGTGAACAGACACATACACATAAACAATCACATATATATAAATACGCAGAAAAAATATTCGGATAATTGCTTGTGCAAAACTTATACGAAACTCTCACAATTACCCGTGTCATGTCATATACGCTCGTATTCACGCTTTGTCTGTTAGTCAGGTGAATTCAATATTTGCATGTGAGGGGTTGCTCCAGTGAGATTCGTTGTTTGTATTAAATACAACAATCCTTAACACTTTGGAACCGATTTTTGATTTTATACTGGTCGACAAAAGGTGACTCTGAAGTGTCTGGAATATTAGGTGTTGCAAACTAATTTTAGCAAATAACAGGAAGCAGATGTTTTGAAAACATCATTGGTCGTAATCATGATGAACAAGTATCGACCCAGCCCAAATAAAAACATCCTTTATAGATTCATGAATTATAAGTCATTCACTCCTCTACCTTGCTACGTGTTTGAATATTCTATTTCGTGTAAACATTATCAATTTTCTTTCATCTAGATCTTTCAAATATTGGTATAAAATATTTAGGAGCAAAAGACAACCGACTTCTTAAATTACACCTGTAAAGGTGAATACATCAACAAAATAAATGGTTTCTTAATGGTTGGATATCGATAGTGACTTTTTTAGTTATACTGGTTAGCTCCAGGCTGCCTTCCAAGATCCCTACTCAATCATTTTTCAACTTGCTCTGAAACTTTTTTATTGATTTAACTGCCCAAAGTTGAATTTGCACATTCATTTGCTTGTGCAGAGGATTAGTCTTATATTTTTCCTTTCTATATTCTTCTTCTGGTCATCCCACTGTAATAGATATGCGACCTTAAATTCTGTCGACTGTAATTATTAGCAGTATATGGACTTGTAGCAACTAACCTACAGCCAATTTAGATTATAGTTGGTTTTGGTTAAGCTCTTTTATTAACCTACTTGACTGACAATGTTATTTGAACAATAACAATTCGCATAATTCTTTGTACCGTTGTGATCACAAGATGATATGACAGACTCTAACTAAAATGTTGGTTGATTAAATACCACTCGATAATTCACCCTCCCCCCATGTATGCATTTACTCAAATCATATTATTAGCTTTGCAGCGGTAAGTAAATCCTCAAAATAAATAAACTTACATCGACGACCTCTCGAACAAGCATACGAAGGACCTTTAAAAGTTGTTCATCGCAAACCCAAGTACTATATAGGCGAAGGGAATCGTTCGGTTTAATCTAACGACACAGCTTCTACACTTATAATACCTCATTCGATAGCCAACACGCACGGTGAAACTTCGGCAGTATCACAAAATAAACTTTAAAAAACGCGTTCTGGAAGAAGAGTAAAATTTTCAGAACATTTGAACGATTACTGCACGTAAGATACAAGTTTACACTTTATGTCGTCCCGATTTTCCTTTGTACCATATATAATTAAAAAACCCAGATTTAATATGCTTATATGCTTTTATTTTTATTTAAAAAAACAGAATAACCACATTATAAAAATCCTTCTTTTTACGCTATTACGTGAGCATGAGTTTATTTTCCATTATTTTCGCTCGCTTTGTGTTTTCGCGCGCGTACGAGTGTATTTCGACATGCAATTACATATACCTTTCCTTTTCCAGGACGGCTGGAAAAGACGAAAACAAACGACGAAGTTTACGATGGAACGAAATTTTCATTATACCTTGTTTCTTTATGACTGTATTGTACTACATGGTCCCTTATAGTAAGGAAAGACGATCAAACGCTGCCAAACATAGTAAGCTATCGGAAGAGTGTTTACCAATGACAAACTCGTTCGGTTTGAACTTCTGGTTGGCCACGTCTTAGGGTCATCGCTACTCCACTACGGGAGAGTGATCTGTAGCGGTAAATAAATCCCCAAAATAAATAGCTCTGTAAGTTTTCGACATTGGATGCTAACCACATTAGTTTTGATGGACTAATCTAGCTGAAGGCGCTCGATCATGCATCTGCACCAGATCACATGTGAGAACGCCGTGCTCAGCATCTACTGCAATCGCTAGCCAGATTAGATCAGACGATCCTCAATATATTGATAGCCTATCAAATATATCTTCGAACCTCCTTGCTTCTGTCTTTTGATTTCACTTGGTGGGTATGATTCATATTAGGTGTTAGTGGTCAAAGCGTTATCAAACTCCTAATATCTGTGGCATCTTCAGTATCAATATAAGTATTAAGTCTCTTATTAGTTAATTTTAAGTTCCTTGGAATATTGTGCCATAGTTTCGTTGATGACTCTTGGTGTTTGACATGTGACGTAGTCCGAAAGAAAACGATAATATTTTCACGAACCCCTCCTTTAAGTTAACAGACATTTTCGTCGTATATTACTGCTGTCAAGTGATTAAATAACTCGTTACCATTGTCCAAGTTTACATTTAGATTTTCTGGAATCACAACTGCTACCGACTTCTGAAACATTGAATGAAAATCCGTGTCCTTAACATGATTCTGTTACTTTCCCTCAATCAACCACGTATACCCAAAGGTATGGCAAGGCTTAATGCTGGCTTCAACATTTCAAGGTAACTGTTATGTGTAAAATTCTTAAAATCCCTGATCGTCCTGTATAACTATTGAACCTTATAATGAAGTGTTAAGCAAACATCAGTGAACCAAATCACAGCTGACCTGTTAAAAACAAGGGACTAAATCACTTTGAAACATTAGTTGTTCAGAACTCATAAGATCAAATGATAAAAATGTACAAATTTCCAATCACACTGAACTCGACACTCTGTATCTCAAGAAATGGATTAGGTCAAATCACAAAGCCATTCAAGAGAAGGCGATCGAGTTTTTCACCATAAACACATTTCTTATAAGCAGGAAACGTCATTCTTGTACACTAGGGATGGTCAAACAATAGCGTTTAAGAATACAGATATTAGTCGTAAAAACCATAAAGGTTCAGTGATAAAAGTACTATCAAATTTAGGAATCCAAATCGAGAGAAATCCACCTTTGTGGATGGGTGACTGTTGTGTTGCACCCGAGCAAGTAGTACAGATTAGTGATAAGCTCAAAAGTGGCGGTTAATGTTGTGCACCAGAAAAAAGGTTTAGGTGTTTGGTAATAAATGGTTTATAAAGCTTTCTTATACAGTTCGACTAAACGTCCTGGCTTACAAGAGTTAAACAGTAATGTTATAACTGTCCGACTCAAATAACTTTTCGTAGAGTCATTACATTAAATCCCTTATAGCCTCATTCATTCTGACTTAACTGACAGACTGCCCTTGTCCAACTATACCCACAGAGCACAGGCAGAATTTTCTTAGCAGAATTTGAAATACTCATCATCACGGGTTAGAAAAAAACAAGGTATGGAAACTGACAGATAGTCACATCAACCAGCATCAGTAGGTGAATTATTCAGTCCTTACATGTTATGTATATAGAGTTCTGTAGATGATTCAGCTTGCAGTGATCAGTATTTCAACTCAGAGGTACGGTGTGCCTGTGAGATAATTTGGCTTGGCATTACAATGTTTTCATCAAACTAGAAACACATTGCAACCTGTGTTTTTCTCTTATGATTAAATGATATTTTCGGTTTTCTAATATCATTGGTTCTTTTATATCCCGGTGATCTATTAACATGTATATTATCCTAAGAGTTCCGAAGCTACTAGCAGAATGGTCGAGCAATGGGTGTATGATAAAAAAACGCCCTTATATTCTTTCTTAGATGAAGTGCATTCCAATCCACTAGTAAATGTGTTGTAAGTAGGATTCAGTACCTTTTTCACAAAATTAACGTGATCTGGAGGTTGTACCCATTGTATATTTAAAACTAATTTATTTGCTTAACCACTAGCTGCTAAAAATGTTGACACCATATTGAGTATCTATAGAGATATCTGTTACCTAAAACCGACCAATTTATAACCTGAAACCCTTTCTTCAATTTTCCAGTCCAGACCATTATCCATAGGGGCGCAGACCTTGTATATAAAGTCACAGATTATCTACAATGCATTGCAATCCACCATTTTATAGTTGAACTCATTGACCCAGAATTTATGTAAATCTTCTTTTGTGGGCAATATATGCAACCAACTGAAGCATTCTTACTTATCTTCCCAAAATGAAATTATAAACTGTCAAGATATTGCGTTGGACGAAGTGTCAAAAATAATGAAAGTTATTGCAAAAAGTATAAAAATAGTTGATAATACATGCAACTGTAAAAACCGACAAACAAAATGCATAGAAAGTTTTGAGTTTTGATCTGGTAATCTTTAGTTAAAAGAAATAATCAAGAATTCTATGTATTATAAATATAATCAAAGATAATAGGTCTCCAGAATAAATACGTGATTGAAATATCAATGCAATTTGTTAACATGGATTGTAGATATATTAGATGTTCGTTATGACAGCAGTGGATAAATAAGAACTAGAAGTATACATGTACCAGAGCTTTTAACAGTGAAAATCAGTTTCAAGCTAACAGAGAACAGAGAGGTAACGGGAAACTGATGACAAGGTTGAACAACGGCACTAAATACAACAAAAGCAATTGTACATGTTGTGCGCAACTGTGAAAAATGCTCATGATAACAAAAATTACATATAAAATATATTTATATTTACAATCACACAAACAGTAGGATTCTTGTAGACCGTGGATGCTAAGAACAGCAAGAGAAATTCGAAGACGATAAAAATGAATTTTTTACTTCACTGAAAACGACATTATTGTTTAAGGAATGTTGAATTTATTGGGCGAGGTTCGCCACAAGATTGAACATCATTACCAGCACAATTTTTAAGACCTAACGTTACATTATAGCATGGTTTCTCAAGGTATTTATTACAATGCTTGTTCTTCTTCTTTGCTTGCGAAATTAAGATATTTCATTTGGTGCCACATGACTATTCTGAAAGTGTTGTTTTTTCGGATAAATTGATAGACCCATCGGTAACTTCGAAATAAAGACAACCCAGACTACAAGATTTAAACTAGTCCAGTAAATTTCCATAAATAATTCGTTGAATTTTTATTCCGAACATCTATGAAGAAATGTGCATCTTTTTCGAAATCCAACAGAAATTTGGTGATACGTTCGGGCAACTCTGAAATGACCATGGAATTTCTGCATACCTATTAGGATTAAATGACGATTTTATGTAAGGAATTAGGAACGCAATGACTGGGAATTAGATTTGATGTTTTCATCACGAACTTACACCAACTATGATTCCAAAATTATGTTTAGTCGAATGAATGATTGAATTTCTTGCCAAATTTCAAGATCTATCACAAATTTGATTAGCTCGTCCATAAGTTATAGTCTCGCCAGGAATTTCTGTTACGTTATTACCTACAATAATTCAAAAAACTATCCTTATCTATTTCTTTTTGGTGTCTTACGCTAAATACAGTGTTATCGAATAGTTCGTTTAACAATCGTATCGTATTTTTGCAATGATCTATAACAATGTCGAGGGACTGGATTTCCTTGTTTGAAGTGTGCATAACTTAGTGCAAATTGTTGTTAACATTCATTACCATGTCTAATTAGGTTCATTTTCTCCGTTCGATTCGTATGCAAGAAAAATTTAGCGTTCAGTTTGTCCTATAACAATAAATTTTTCTCTTAGCATAGTGAAATTAATAAGTGCTCGAACTGCTTAGTAGTTTGCTTGTTAACAAACACTTGTGTATCTGCAGTCAGTGTTCAACACCAAAGACAATCATGGGTTGGTTTAACGCTGGTACTGGAAACTCTGAGCGACTAATCTGGTAGACATTCTCAGGAATTTTTTTGCCTTCTGTGTGAATTCTGTAAAGAATGAGAAAACCTGTTTTATGTTATTCCCCATAACTTTCTACTGAATTTCCGAACTCTGAAATTTCTCGTCATCTTCCTCACAATGTTGATAATATGTAAAATATAAATATCTCTAAGTTCTTCGTTAAGCGTGACATGCGGTTCCGTTTTCTTGGTTTTATTGAGTCCGCGTACTTACTACCTATGGCATGAAGAGGAACTTTTGCAGGTCCACAAACCTTCATCAAAGGTAGCATCCCAGTGGAGCCAAGCTTCTATGGTTATTTGGTGAACTTCATCCAGGTTATCCATAGGTACGTATTAATACTAAAGATAATCAACGCACAGTGTGTCGCGTAACTTATACTTGTCTTTATTGCTAAACCATAATTACTGGTCAAAAATATGACGTAAAAATTTTCGATAAGTCGCTATGCATCTCTATTGATTTCGTAGTATATTTTGGCGTACTACTGAAAGTCACTTAAGACTAATAATTTGTACATTTATTAGTGAATTCATCGTTGGTAAGTTTATACTCTTAAACCGCATACACTAACACACTCAAAATAATCGAGTTGTTAACCAAACTCTCTCAAACACAGGTATTCACAACTCGTGTTTTTGCTTTATAATGAAGGAGTTTTGTTATTTTGGAACTGTTAAGTATCGACTCCTTGAAATAGTCTATCAAATACGTTGTGTATTTAAAAATGCTCATTAGTTTTTATAATTTCACCTGATTTTTGAACCTCCGGTATTATATTGGTTACCACTTAGCAGTTTACTGTAAAAGATAATGTTTACGTTTATGGCTGTGTTGACTGTTGCGATGATGTTTGTATCGAAAATTAAAGATCTAGAATGTCTTAACATCACGTATGTACTGCTATATCTCGATGAGGGAACACTTATCGTTCTGTAATGAAGCTGATTCGATATGGAAGTTTCGGAAAATAAACTTTGATTGATTACAAATAACCTTACTATAATGACGTCCAAATTAGAATTCATTTTTGTATAGTAACCGACGGATATTCATCGTTAGTGTGATCTAAGCAATAATTACTTTTGATTGCATCCGAGATATTGACTTTGATTATACCTCGAAGATTACAAAATCCATAGAAGACTGATCCTCAGGAAGCAGGTGGACTTCGATCAGCTCTTTGACTCATTGGCCACATCGTCGCCCTCTGAAAAATGTTAGAGCACTGCCACACTTGGTATAGACGTGTTTCTTGATATCAAAATGCTTTCAATTTGTTGAGCAACTCTGCACCTTGGGATTGTCTGCTAAATAACGTAGGGGCTGAGAAATTTGTTAACATCTTAAAGGTTCTGTACACGTACTTTATGCATGGAAAGAGTATACAGTCACCCTTTGATCTAGCAGGGTAGCCCATACTTACCATCCTTCAACTTCGATATCGGCGACATTCTAAAAACAGTCCTTAGCATGGATCTCCAGGTACTATTATTATCTGCTCTCCGTACTAAGGTTTGTTTACCGACTCTAGTGCACTTGCAAGAAGACTTGCAGATGTAATAGCCACTCTTTATATTTGTTAAGAAATATCAGGAACCCATCACAACTAACACTCAAAGTTTATCGCAGTGGCGTTTTCCAGAGGGAAGATGAAAGCTTCACGACTAAATCAACTGACTCAGAAAACGAAACCCCACCAAGATAAATCGCATCGTAAACAACATTATAATAGCTGATTGTGGACCAAGTTTTGTTAAAAATGTTTCTGTTAAGAATTTTTGACGTGTAGACTGTTTGAAAACCCTAGGCCACTGTTCATTAGGCCGTTTAACCGTTCACGGTGAACCATGTACGAGATTATGTTAATTCTGCTCTGTATTATTATTATTATCATTTGAACACATAAATATTGGTACAAGGGGGCACCAAATATATATGCGCAACACAAAACAATGAGAATTTAAAGAGAAGGGGAAAAAAGAAAGGAGGGTAAGTGGCGTAAAAAAGAACAATAACTAACAGATTAGTGTAAGGTAGTGTAATAGTAGTAATAATGGGGGAAACGAAAAGGTACAATCAAAAGAAATCTTTCAGTTAGGGAAGAAGCAACCGCTTTTAACGAAGAAAGTAAAAGAAGGTTACAGCAGGATCGCCACTGGCTTCTATTCTGAGCCATATTGGATACCGTTTCTGGCCACTGTGTTACACCATCTCTCGGACTCCAACCAGGGAGTCGTGAAGGTCCAACACAAGCCAACCCTTTGCAGCTTTCTTTTATACCACGACACCATGTCATACACTGACCACCTCTCCGCTTTTTCCAACCAGTCCCAGAGTTGGCAAATAATGCACGACATGGAATTCTCTGGGACGACATTCGTACAACATGTCCAAGCCACCGAAGTCGGTGTTTCAAGATGGTGACACCAATTGGATTGTCTTCTATGTGCCCAAACACACGATGCCGAACCTCTGCATTACTAATATAGTGTTGCCACTGGATGTCAGCAATCCTACGGAGACAACGACGATCGAACACAGAGAGTCGTCTAACATCCTCGACTCGTAGAGGCCAGGTTTCACAAGCATAGAGGAGAACTGCTCTCACTGACGCCAGACTACCATCACGAAGGCGCCAAAGATGGCCCAGATTGGCATAAGCCGCTCTGTCTTTCACTATACGTGCATTGATCTCATCACTCACGTCACCACCAGCACTTATGCAGCTACCCAGATACACGAACTTCTCGACTACTATCTGCTCACCATCCAGAGTGAGTACAGGATTAGAATCCTGCCAGTCTTGTAGAAGTACTTTGCACTTCGAAGGTGCAAAGCACATACCGTACCTACGGACACTGATTGCCAATTGATTAAGTGCGGATTGCGTGGCTTGGGCATTATCGCACAGTAGGGCAATATCATCCACATACTCAAGGTCGAGAAGTCTTTCTCCAGGCAACAGATCTACACCGCCACTACTTACATCCATCAGAGCTGTTTCCAGAATGTCATCGATGGCAAAGTTGAAGAGGAATGGTGAGATTGGGCAACTCTGCCTAACCCCACTGCTCGAATGGAATAATGGAAAAAGGTGGTTGTATGCCCTCACTCTGCCTGAGGTGTTTGTGTATAGGGCTTTTAGGATGTTAATAAACTTCTCAGGCACACCCTTCTTCAATAGACAATCCCAGAAAACAGTCCTATCCAACGGATCGAAGGCAGCCGTGATGTCAAGAAACACTACGATTGTTAGCCTTTGATAAGTATAGCGGTGTTCTAACATTTGGCGGAGGGTGAAGATGTGATCAATACATCCTCGACCAGAACGAAACCCAGCCTGCTCCTCGTGAGTCAATCCTTCTGGAGTTTTGAACAACCTACGAAGTATAACGGAAGCCAATAGCTTGGACGCAATCGGAAGTAGACTTATCCCCCGATAGTTGATACAGGAACGACGTGAACCCTTTTTGAAGATAGGGACAACTATCGACTCATTCCATGACGTTGGTACACTTTCTAGTTCCCGAACCTTCGTAAACAACGTCGTCAGTCCCATAGTCAGAAAGTCACCACCATCTTTAAAAAGAACCGGAGGTAAGTCGTCTGGGCCCGGTGATTTGTAGCGTTTCAAGAGTTGGAGTTCCTTGTGGACTTCCGCCTCATTTGGTGGATCAGTCGTCACCGGCCATGGAGGGCAGGACAGTCTGGCCGATGTTGCCGGAGCAGTAGGCCAGTTGAACTGCCCTTCGAAAAATTCTGCCCATCGTCCAAGACGTCGATGGATGTTAGTGATTGGCGTTCCGTCATCCTCGCAGATTGTTTCGCTCACACCAGACTTCTTGCTGCCAGTGGCTTGGATGAGTTGGAAGAGCTTCCAGCAATAGTCGGATGCAGCTGCTGCTTCCGACTCATTAGCACGCTCTGACCACCACGCTTCTCAGTTCTTACACAAACTTTGCCCGATTTCAGTACGTAACATCCTTCGTTTGTGGTCAAACTCACGGTCACCCGGGGTAGACCGACAAGCTTCAATGAGTTGTAAGGAACCAGAAGAAACCCAGTGAACCCACAACTAACTTTACTCGCCATTTTCATGGCGTCATGCAATTGCAAGCAATGCTCATCTATACTTTTCGGTGGAATGGTAGCTAGCCTAGAAGCTAGCTCGGTTCGATACTTACCAGCAACAGAAGTTGCAACCAGCTTGCTAACATCAATCCTTTGGTGGCGGTCACTTCGTTGGCCACTGAAAAGTAAGGTAATATTGGCGCAGACCAGGGCATGATCAGAGTCCAGATAGGTACTCCAAAAGGAGCGGCAGTCTTGTACACAACCACGTCGGCGGTAGTTGATCGCGATGTGATCAACCTGAGTCCAGGCTTGAGATACAGAGGGAGGACGCCAGGTGGCACATCGGCGATGACTGTGCCGGAAGTTAGTGTTAGCCAGAAACAGGTTGTGGTCCGTGCACAGCTGCAGTGGACGGTCCCCATTATCTGTCCTACGACCAACAAGTCCCCATCGGCCACCTAAACGAATCCGTTCTGTGCCTAGACGCCAGACCTGAGCATTCAAGTCTCCGGCTAGTACTACAATATCTGTCGAACGCACTTTCTGGAGAAGAACAGATAACTGGTGGTAGAATTCATCCTTGATTGCATCCGGGCTGCAATCTGTCGGGGCATAGGCGGAGATGACGAAAAGACATCGTTTCTCACGCCGATTTCTCCTCACTTTGATGGAACTTTCTAATCTAACAGCACATAACCGACAGTTAATGGTGATGCAATCGATTAGTGCTGCCTCAGCTCTAGTGCTTAGTGCGACACCAACGCCAGCAAGATCAGGCGAAGATGCCACAGGGTCCCCAGATAAACGCCGGTAAAACAAGCTTTTTGAAGCAACAGATGGAGAGCAAATTTGTAGTACTTCACCAGAGTCTTGAATACGGGTCTCGGATAGACAACAAACGTCGATATTAAGACTTTCGAAAGACATAGCCAGCCTTATCTATTGTCCGACCTACATAAGTGTGCGAACGTTGAGGGTAGCCAGTTTCAATGGTGCATGTGGTTTCAGAAAAACTGCTTCAGTACTCGTATTCGGTGGTAACATACAATTTTCAACCAGGCAGTGACTCGAGAACGTTTAGATAGAGCCGAATTTCCACCATAGGCGAAGCTGCTGTATAAGTCGAAAACTAAGGATAGACAGAATGGGAATAAAAGAGAGTGAATAAATGACGTAGTAAATAATAATAATAATGCGAGTCATTTGATTGGTAATAGGAGCGAGAAGAATATTTTCCATAAGTAGACAGTCCATCATGCTTTTGTGTGTGGACTGAGATACTGCCCGGGTGCCCAGACCGAAGCAGGTGGTTTTCTTGGGGGCCACGCCCCGAGCCTTTGACCTAAAGGTCTAACCCACAAGGCAGTGGAGCATCGTGAGGAGATGCAGTCCCATGGAAGCCGGTGACCAAGAAACTGGTTCATACGCCATTTGTTCCCGCAGGATACTGGAGCCCATGTGCACCATTGGTTTGGGATCCGGTTAAAGCACCGGACATTCGCTCTTCGTCTTCTCACTTTCGTAAACAACACCCCCGCCACGATAAGGCAGTGAGTAGAACTTCACTGGAAGATGCTGTAAACGCGTGGCCGTGTGAGAGTATTTCGAGAGGGAGGGCGGACCTACCCCACTCTCGGCCTTACCAGGACTATAAAATTATGTGAGATTACATTATTGTTGTTATCGTTTTGTCCTTTCGCTTGTACAAACAGATGTTCACATAAATGGTGCGATTGTGGAGTCCAGTACTATTTGATGTCTCCATGGATTATTCTAGCCTTCATACAGAGCAATTAATTTATTATTCTTGAGTCACAGTGTGACATTGTTAACTATCACCCTATAACCTTGACTGTTTTCATTTAAGTGTGCTTCTATCACTTACTCCATTTATTACATGTCTTTAGCTTGTTTTTGTCGGAATAAAAATGGTGAGTTACGCCACATCAAAACGAGTTGGTACGCTTGTCTTCTCTTTGCATTCTTGCTTCTTATTTTGATGTCTGCCCCAGATAAATTCATTCAACCTAATCCATATTCAACTTCTTATTACCACCGTCGCACAAACGGGGTTAGCATAAGTGTAATATATGGAATTAAACGGAAGATTTACACTCATGGCACGTTCATTAATTCAAATTGATGTCAGATCAACAGGCCACTAAATGATCATCAAAAGTAATATGGAAAAAGCCTAGTTCTTTCCGGTAGAGTAAGGTTTTCAGCGTTAAATTTGTCTAATATACATCGAAGTCTATACTGTGTTCCCTACGTAAATAGGATGTAAGAACTGTAATCTAAACTTCTGTTAAATAGTTATTAGTGTACGTCCTATTTCAGTATCTTTATGTAAATAGTTTTATCATTGTTTAGTTCTATAGTAAATTAGCGATCAGTATGCATCAACTTACTTTTCTTTAATAACGAGAAATTCAGTTTATCATATACTGTTTTGTGGACTTAAATAGCCTACCATTACTACATAAAGTTAGATAGTCTTGAGATTCACTAATATGTTCCGATTGTTTGACTGCTAATTTTATATTTCATTTTGCATTCTACCTTTTTAGTGAGTGTTGATTCTATTCTGAAATCTTACAGATTAAACTCATTGCTACTGTTTCCTTACCTTTTAGATGACGAATTCGTTGTTCCTCACATGGATTTATCTTGTTTGCAAAATTCAATAGCATATCAAAAAGTTCTTGAAGAACCTTGGACTTACCTTCACAATTGGGATTCTCTTACTCCCAGTGTCCAACAAGAGGTTGCACAAAACTTTCTAAGTGAACTAAGCTCACTTAAAACTGAAATGGCGATTACCCAAGGTGTATTTGATCCTTCCATGTTTGTTAATCAGGATGCTTCGTGTGATACAGCAGTATGTTTTTATGACAAATTTTTTTATCTTAAACAATCTCAAATATTCCTTTGTTTTAGCTGAAATAAAAAGCGATAAAAAATATAGATTAGATAAGGTCTTCATGTCTTTATAGATGATCACTATTCTCCATGAAAAATTCTGCCTGGTTATCAAAACTGTAAAGAGCTTAGATCTGTACAACAAATTACAACATCCTAAAATAAATGTTTACTGGTTATTAAGAAAAACACTGATCAGTTTCACAAAGATAAACTTATTATTTTCCTCTACCAAGATTCCGAAACGTACAGATGCATATCATCCTTACCGATGGTATTCTTTAGCTCAAAACCAATAATTAATCAGAATAGCTGGGATGTTATAACTGTAAGCTAGTCTGCTATTTCTAGTTGATGATATAACTTACTACCTATGTTCGCTTTCAGTACTTATTCTTTTTTTCTAAATATCGCATTCTGCTCTAACACGAAGCGTTTATTCTAAGCTATTCCGTATATTTAAATTAAGGTCTGAAAATCTTTGATATTTTCTGTGTCACACTTAAAGCGTGAAATTCAGAGTCCATTCAAGCTTATTCTTACAAAAGTAGTAAATGAAAGAGATGATCAGTTAATGACATGTCGCCGTGATTTTTACTATGATTTAGTTCTTGGTGGTCATACATCACGACTACTTTAATGAAATCCTAGAAATTATACTATTCAGTAACGTGAGTCTTTACGAAAGGTACCCCACGATAAAATCACCGGTATTCTTAGAATACAATATCGAAACTCATCTTGTGTTCTGGTCTTAAACATGAACTTCGATATTCTAATTATATGACTATCCTATCTTTGTTTTGTATAGAGTATTTTTAATACCTCGTGAGATTTTGTGTTAAGAAACAGTCAGTCAAAAACAACGTGGAACTTCGTACGTACGTACATCAGTTCGAGTTGCCATATCACATTAGCACAGAGATTCAGTTATCGATTTAAATCCCGTAGTGGCAGAGTAGTGAAAGTATAAGTAGTAATAGGGAACGTTAAGGTTTGATGATGTTGTTTAAGGAGTATAGTCCAGTGGAATATATTTAAAAAGAAAATAAAGGACATGGAGAATTCAGAAGATTAGAGTTTGAGAGAACACAGAGAGTGGATGCACCTGCGCCATTGCAAACGATTTTCAGCCATGCTATCATCTCGCGGTCCCCAACCAGGTAGTCTACATCTACCAACATGACTCAGTCCGCTTGCCAGTGACTTCATGGATTTGTGCCATGTTTTGGTCTGACCGCCCCTAGCTTTCTTCCAACCTACTCCTACACCATAAAACACTGCACGGTGGTCTGGCATGCGCAACACATGTCCTAGCCATCTCAACTGATTAAATTTCACTACTTCGTCAATTGATTTGCCATCCTTACCTAGTACCCGTTTCCTAACAACTGAGTTACTTATTCGGTGGTCCCAGGATATACGAGCAATGTTTCGAAGGCACCTGTGATCGAATACTAGTAACCTACGAATATCCTCTGCTCTTACTGGCCATGTTTCACTGCCATAAAGTAGGACGGAACGAACTGCTGCGCAGTAATCTCGTCCTTTGGTTGATAGACGGATATCTCGTCTACACCACAAATGACTCAAGATGGCAAAAGCTAGTCGAGCCTTCTGTATCCGTGCTGAGATTTCGTCACACACCAGGGGCTGATGAGACTTCCCAGATAAGTGAAGCGGTCGACACGCTCAACTACTTCACTCCTTATCACTAGTTTGGGAAGGGTGTTTCTTGAGGAACCTGAAAAGGAAACCGGATTAGCGTTGGTCTTAACGACCTGGGTGCGTGACCGCAGAGTCCAAGGGACAACTGCTTGAGGCCGGTTGCGCACGGCTTTTTTGTGGGAGGTTTTTAATGTGTTAGCTCCGTTCTTCAAAGGGCCTTGCCGCCGGAGACGGATATCCGTGGGGTGAGGTGAGGTGTGACATTTTTAGGGTCGACCTTTTCTAACCCCTTCCTTCCTTGTGAGAAGGCAGCATCGCTGTCATACTGGTTGTCCGAGGGGAACACCTTACTGCTGTCACACCTCTGTACAGTGAGCAGTACGACTTCGCCCTCAGACCTTGAGTTGATGCATTTAGTCTTACTGTTCTCCAACCGACCTGTCTGGCATGGTAGAACCTGCAGGAACATGTGTTCCAGCCAATATAGCTCGGTTGGGTCATCACGATAGGAAGCCCGACCACCACGTCAAGGTAGCAGCTACGGTCGGGTGTTAAGAAACAAATAAAATAGAAGTAGAACTATAAGAGGAAGAGTGATGAGGCGTAATAAATTAACCCTAAAGATCCATAAAGATGGTGGCCCAGTTTTAGAAACTAAGCTGAAATACTAGCTGAAGTTTGAAAGCTGGACATAATCCCATCTGGCTGACTTCGATCTCTGATCTCTCCGGTTTACAAGAAAGAACAATAATTCTGTTGTGATAATCACAGAAGAATCATTTTGGTTAATGTAGGATCTAACGTACTTTAATCATTTAACGCTTAAATAGGGTTCATAAAGATCAACCCTGAAACAATCAGGCTAATTTCATAATTGGACATGGATGTATTAATCAAATGCTCCCTCTTCACCTGGTTTTGGAACCCAGGCATGCGTACCGACGCCCAACCTTAATTGTATTCCTTGACCTTGTGGCATCGTTTTACTCTGTTGGACTAGAGGTTGTATGTCAGTGTTCGTTATCGAAAAGTGTATAAAAAAGGTTTTTAAACCTTGTACAGGCTCTCTACTCGAACGCTATTGGTTGAGTCAAAGTTTATGGTGATTTTTCACCTAAATTGTTGACCTCATGTGCTTTTTGGCATGGTTGCTCACTGTCCAATGTTTTATTCAACTTCTCTGTAATGTCCTCCTAGAAATAACGCCATTCATCTAATCTTTCAGAGGTTAGCCTTTTACCACAAGGTTCGCTTATCGACTTAGAATACTCAGGCGATCTAGTCCTATTTGATAAAGACATAGACAAAATGCAGCCTTCTGATCTCCTTGAGCAACATTGCAAACTGTTTTGGAATATGACTCTCTCTAAAATTAAAAACGTTATTTCAGGACTGTTCTGCACTAACCATTTAACTAATCGTAAAGAATGAGGTAGTTTTGTGTGTTGATCACTTCATTTATCTTGAGTTTCATCAACACTGGCGGGTCGGTGTCTGATTAAATCTGCACACGAACACAAAAAGTTTGACTGCCTTATGCTAACTCTTTCCTCTTTTCGTGTAGGCAAGATGCCTGTCTACCAACTAAAATGCATGTATACTGTTCATCACTTTACAGCTATGAAACATCAGAATCGAAAGTAGGCTGCGGAATTTTTATCATAACTGTCTTCCAAGCCTTGGTCACGTTGTGTGGGACTGCCTATTGAGCGACGTTATGGTTAGGTTTTTAGTATTAGGCAAAATGGCAGATCAGTTGGCGAGATTGTAAATTTTTACCGAATCAGGCAATTAGAACATGTTACGCAAGGCATTGTTTGAGAGCGTAATAGAAAAGAAAACTAAAGTCAACCGAACCATCGGTCCATAAAGCCAGGGATTATTGATCTGGTCTATGTTGTTAGATGTAGTCTATTTGGTTGGGGTCCACTCAGTAACCGCGATTATTGACTAGAGACTTGACATGAATAGGCATTCACAACTTATCTTCTTCTGGATCATGAATTTCAGTATTCCTTCATACACCTCTGTACCATATGTTTTCGTTCATCTTAGTTATTGTTATAATCTACTATGGCAACTTAAATCAATTTGCATCTTTGTCTGCATCTATGTTGATGACTGACTGACCAAGGCAACTTAATCTAGTTTGAGGTGCTGCCGTAGTGTGGGTTACTTATATCCACACAAGTAGTATATGACGGTGGTCAGACATGGAATGTGTTTCAGTAGAAGGTCGATGAGGAAAGAACGGGAACGGAACGTAATTGGTATGAAAACGCATGAACAATGAAATCTGAGACAATAGATTGATGTTTGCAACAGGAACAGTCAAGTTTGATACGATGGATTGATATTTTGCAAATTAACTATATACTGTATGGTTCTCAGATTTTATTGAGATGCTCTGTAATTCTGTGCTCAAATACATTCGATCGTCCCCATTGGTGTTCTTGTTCAGTACACTGCGACCGTCACTAGGTTCATTAACCATCATATTAAGAAATACTGACCTGCCTATTGAAATTTCCACAAAGTAAATAATCAGGTTCAATAATTACAACTATGATAGAAAAATCCAGTTGATGTTTTTTAATCACAGTTTTCATTTGTATGCCTTCTTTTAATTCGTTATTTCTTTTAGTCTACTGCAACCTGACACAAGTACTATGCTATTAAGTTTCCATTTTTTTTTAAACTAGAGCAGTTAATGGGTAAAATGTGACATTAGTTAGTTTTATCTATATACCCATAGATTCTGAGTTAATTATTTTCTTACTTAATATGAACAAGAATACTCAACTAATAATTTTTACATTCATTCGTCTAGGTTTCTGGACAAAATGGTAATACAACAGAAAATCATGCAAACACCATGTAGTGTTTTGGTTATTTTTGTTTCCTGCTGTTCTAAATAAAGTTTACAAAAATTATAATCGTGTTTTCTTTTTTATTTAGTTCTAAAGACTATATAGATTGATTACACAATATATTAGATTTTTTCTAGGTTTCCATTAGAAACTTCAAGTCTTTTTCTACATCTAAAGATACTTCAAATGTTATTACTCACTTAAATCCATAGGTTTAATTTAATAGGGGAACCAAGAAATCGATCGTGTAATCACGATTTGGAGATAAACACGTTCTTTGTAGATTATAAGTGGGTACAAAGTTGGAACTGAGTACTAGAAACAGTTTATTTAAGCTCTTTCCCCAATACAGCATATCTATCCTATTATAATGTGCGACGTATTTTGATGCTATAAGGATGGTTTATCAAAGAAGTTAGTATTCGAAGAAGGAAGCAATCTCGTTCATTGATATTGAAGTCCTTGGAGTAAAAGCATCTCAAAAATTCGAAAATTGATGATAAAAAGCAGTCTATCTATCAACAACCATCACTCTTTATTAGCTTTCAGTCTTCTTTCAGAGAAATTGTTCCAGTTACTAGAAACTGAATGGCTCTCCTCCCCCAAATTATTCACAGTGTTTTTTGTAAATTCTGTATTAGTAGGGATTACCAGAAATACTAGGGGCAACTGAAATATAAATTTGTTGTAGCAGATGTCTATTTTCAGAAAAGATAGACAACGATTGGTCTCAGACAAACTTCACGTGCTTTCGCTTGTATAAGTAAACAGACATCCAAATGGTTTGACTTTTCTCCATAATTAGAATGTGGTATTTATGCATAATTTGTTGTTCTGTACAACTATTGTATACGATATAATTGCTGAAAAATTACTTTGTGAAATGATAAAACAGGTTGATCATGTGGTGTCTTGTTTATTTCAACATTTTTTAATGCTTATGTTGAAAATTACATTGTTTTATTCAAAGTTCAGAAGTGCTTTCTGCATACAGTTACAAATCATAAATGGACGGAAAATAGTTTAGTGGTATTCAATCCACAGATCAGTTGATTCTATTACTAAGAGAAAAAATATAATGAAGTAAATTATTCCGCATTTTCATTCACTTGAAACTAATTTATATAACTATTGATTCAATTTACATTTTTTAAAAGCCAACTGAAACTATGGTAAATTTTCTTGATTTGGCTTGTCGGTTAACATGCTTCAGGACATATTACATTAGATCATGTTAGCAGACTTCCTAGTTTAAGCAATTTATCTTTGTTGTTCACTTAAGTAGTTAAAATCAGACTGAGAATGTGATAATTTTCAAGCTATGAATTTAAACCTAGTTAATACAATGCGCTTGATATATGACAAAAATTACTCCAAATTAAAACAACCCTGCGCTTTATCACGTCTTAGCATGGAGTCATTTAATTTCATGGGTGCTCTTTAACCAGAACCATTTGAAACTGTGAATGAAATGAATCGGGAAACTAAACAGAACAGGAAATAATATCTATATAGCATAATCAAAAGTTAAACCAAACCATCAAGGATATATGAAGATATTTCCAAATGATAATTATACAAATCGCTCATTTTTAAGTACTCTATAGTAAATTTCCGGAATTCTGTTAAGTGCTTTTTAACCAAGATTTTTAATCGTAATGAAACCAAACACCAGGGAAAACAGAATAAACTTGGGTAAGAGTTTTGATATTCGTTACTGATTGTAAGAATTTGACTTTTCCCACTGTTACTGTTCAGAACTGAATCTGTCCTTCTGTTGCCAACACAAGCTTGAAAAGAATTTCCGTATACACAGCTTCAGGAGAAATTACCGAATAGAATTCTAGCCAGTGACTAAATTAAGCACAAAGTGAAAACAATATAATGAGTCATGAGTTACCAAATATTTAAATCATTGAATATTAATCTGAAATAAGATGGAGATTTGTACATTTTCGTTACAAAAGTAAATAATTTATATCTTGAATGGAATAGGTAATACAATCGAAAACCATTTGATCTAAAGAGTTTTAACAACATATCTGGGAAAACTGTTGTGTTCTGCTCTCATGAAATGCACTCTTACGTTTAGGCGAGTAGATTATCGGATGGATAGATGCGGATCATTGTGGAACAATCAATTGAATGGAATTCATCAGTCTACATCAACTTTATTGGCTACGAGAAAGTATTTGATAGCATGGACAGGACAACACTATGGAAGCTTCTCCGACACTACGGCGTTCCTCAGAAGATAGTCAATATCATACGGAATTCCTATGATGGATTAAACTGCAAAATCGTTCATGGAGGACAGTTGAAAAAGTCGTTCGAGGTAAAAACCGGTGTCAGACAAGGTTGCTTACTCTCCCCCTTCCTCTTTCTCCTGGTGATCGACTGGATCATGAAGACGTCAACATCTGGGGGGGGGAAGCACGGGATACAGTGGTCATCTAGGATGCAATTGGATGATCTAGACTTCGCAGATGATCTGACTCTTCTATCGCACACGCAACAAATGCAGAAGACAACCAATGTAGCAGCAGCATTAGGACTCAACATACACAAAGGGAAAAGCAAGATTCTCCGATACAACACAGCATGCAACAATCGAATCACACTTGACGGAGAAGATTTGGAAGATGTACAAACCTTTACATGTCTGGGCGGCATCGTTGATGAACACTGTGCATCTGATGCAGATGTGAAGGCACGGATTGGCAAAGCATGAGCAGCATATTTACAACTAAAGAACATCTGGAACTCAAAACAATTGGAAACCAACATCAGTGTCAGAATTTTCAATACAAATGTTGAAACAGTTCTACCGTATGGAGCGGAAACCTGGTGAACTACGAAAGCCATCATCCAGAAGATACAAGTGTTTATTAATAGCTGTCTACCTAAAATACCTTGGATCTGTTGGCCAGACACTATCGGCAACAACCTACTCTGGGAGAGAACAAACCAGATCCCAGTGGAGGAAGAAATCAGAAAGAAGCGCTGGAAGTGGATAGGACACATTGAGGAAAGCACCCAACTGTGTCACAAGACAAGCCTTCACATGGAATCCTCAAGGCAAAAGAAAAAGCGGAAGACCAAAGGACATATCACGGCGAGGAATGGAGACAGACATGAGAAAAATGAGCAAAAAGTGGATAGAACTGGAAAGGAAGGCCCAGGACAGAGTGGGTTAGAGAATGCTGGTCAGCGGTTTATGCTCCATAAGGGTGACAGGCGTAAGTAAGTAAGAATCACTAGTTAATCAGTCAGTGATGTAATAATCGACTAAAATTGTCGACGTTTACAGATAATTACTTCTATTGGCATAACCCCAAGATATTTATTAGGAATAAATCGTAGAACGTTAAGGACGCTTCAGTTATTAGTATTTTAGTAAATCTTTATTACTCACTAAAAACATTCACAATTCTAGGGAAAGAAACTTCAATGAATTTACAAACTTAAGTGTATGGTATTTCTGGGCCTAGTTTCGTGGTGGTGATTTGAGTAAACATGATGTAATAAAGAGAAAATTATGGTAGCAGGTGATATATTGTAGAGGACTATACCTGATACAGGATGTGCGTAAATATAGAAGGGATGTGAAAATGGTGAGATAGTATTGAATTATAATGTGAAGGGAGTAAAACAATCAGTGTGTTTCATACCAGCAATTAGAGGTGTTAGTGAGGTTACATGAAGTGATATTAAAAGCAAGTAGAAGAGTAAGGGATTATGAAAAGGAGAGGTGTAAATTTCCAAAAGCAAAAATGTACGAAATGTAAGCAATATTATTAAATCCAGGACAAGGGAAAGCTGATAACTTTTATATAGAAAGTTCAAGTATCACCTCATGGGTAAACAAGAGTTCCGTTGTTTTAAGCAGTAAAACACGAAGAAATCTATAAAGTCTATAAACTTTAAAATCAGTAACGTCGAATAGTTGGTTCATCAGAGTTAATTCAGTGTTCAAGGGTCACATACTTAGCGAACTACCCATCATACTTATAAAATCAAGTTGAACTGTTTTTTCTAACACGTATCAAAAGCAAACACTAGGAAAAATTAATGTACATTGTCTGATAAAAATAGGAAAATCGGTGGATACACTTAAAGAGGGACAAACGGAGAAGCTTTTCTTTAGAGAATACCATAGACAATTCCTGGAGTTTGAAAGTTGGTCAAAACTTTTCTGTGAAACTAGAGAACCATTTGAGAAATGTCAGCATTCTTAAAAAGATAAGTGAATGACAAGTTAAAGCCATGAGTAAAACAAATGTAAGAGATTTTTTTCGAATGCAGACGTCTAGCTTCATCTTATGTATAGTTATATCTCTGTGATTTTAAATAGTTGTGAATCAGTTATTCATGAAAGATTGGGCAAATTCAATAAGTAGTCTAAAATTCATTTGTATTGGTTGTTTGGATCGTCCCATCGGTATTTAGAATTGTAATTAGTCAGTCTTGGTACATGTGGCTCCTGTGTGGATTACTTCAATATTGTCATTAAGTCACAAGCACTTTAAGGAGAATTTCAAGGTAGCTAACAATGAAATTTAAGATGCGCGTTTTGTTTTACTTGGGACTGGTCAGCTGGATGTGGATGCATCCCAGAGTTGATGTTCATTCCAGGACTTCTATTCACCATCCAACTCTGCTTATAAGTCTTAAAATAAGTTTGTAAGTTATTTGATTGATCAAATTCAATTGGATGCTCAAGATCATAACCATAGTACTGTAACGTACTCTCTTATAGATCTTGAAAGCGAAACCAGTCATGTTTGATGTACATCGTTCCACAGGGAAAAGTGAACTAGTCAACACATACAAGAGTGACGAGAAGAGGAAGATCATCTTTCAATCGTACAGAAAATAGTTTGTAATTTGTTACTGTTGGTCGTAATTCAGATGCACAAAACATAATCCTAATCTCTACAAACAGGTAACTCTTAATTACACCAGTTGCTTTATCACTTTTCGTTTGCTAATTTGAAAAAGTGACTTTTTCGAAAGCTAATTTCTTCATGCTTAGATTAGTTCTGTCTCAGATTGTATCATTCAATGAAGAATATTGTTTTTCTAACCAAACGAATTTGAATAGTCAATTAAATGAGCAAATCTTTTAACTTTATTATTGTATTAAGGAAATGGTTTTACTCTGATTTCTACTTTGAATCTTCTGAATATTTGTATATAACACATCTGCTACATTTTAAATAAAGCATGACCTACTCTTCATGAAATTTAATGGTAAAATTTAATCTTTCAGGTTTTATTACCTACTTCAATTATTAAAAACTAAGCTTATAGTTTATTGAACCAGTCACAATAATTATCCCTCTATGTTATCCACTTCACAATACTTTTTTGGAAAACGTTCTTTAGATTTTTTTTGATCTTTTTATTAGGTACACTTCATCTGCATGTACCATACATATACACATACATACTTATGCAAATTTACATTTTAGAACATATAATATTTAGTTATTATTCATATTGTCTTCATTAGAAGTGTATACATCATGTGCATGTAAAATTGAAACAAACATTTGCGTTTATTTGAGTATACCATTGAAATAATACTAAACTGTTGTCATAGTGTTTTCATTTGTCTATTTTCTTTGCGTGGGTGTTTTAACCTTGATTTAAAGGTCACCCATTTGTTTTATAATGCAAATGTTCAGTGAAAATAGAACTTAGTGCCATATTGTCTTATTCGACAGTTAGTGTAAATGAAAAAGAACAAAATATAGTATAGTTCTTTTTTTACTCTTGTAGAGAAGAAATTAATTTTGTCACAATTCACAAATGGTAATTTTTTCTTAAGTGTTTTATAAACTATCGTTTTTTAAGGATCAAGCTAATTTAGATGAAGTTCGTGAGGAAACTGAGTGGGAACAATGTTCACGTAATCCAGATGTTGCAAGATTTGTGAAAATAAGAAATTTAGTTGAAAGAAATAGACTTCAATCTTTAAGATCTCAATTGGATAAACAATTAGAATGGGAATTAAAACGACTTTCTTTAGAACGACGTGAATTTGCTGATGTCTTAGAAAATTTACGTAAACGTCATGAAAAAGTCGATCGAAGGAATGTTCGAACATTAAAAAATAATCTTAATTCAAATTTTTATATCTGTGAAAGAAATAGAAAACATGATAGATACTTGAACTCTATGAACATGAACGATATTTTACCTAAAGGATTATTTAATTGTACTACTACAAATAGTATAAGTAGTACAAATACATCTTCTTCAGTTATTCCAAAAGTAATTTCTTCACCAGATATAACTAAACTGGTTAACACTCGCAATAATAATAATAATAATAATAATAATAATAATAATAATAATAATAATAATAACAGTAACAAACATTTAAATCCTATACCCACAATACATACCGAGGCATCGAATTCAACTGAGAAAGTTTCAAAACCAAATATTTATCACTTATTTTATACAGATTCTGGTGAATGGATACATTTAAACAAGCTCAATTTGAATATATCAGCTCCATCCAGTGCATCAAAATCATCCGCTTCATCAAAAGGTATGAAATGTACAAAATCTTGGTCTGAAAATGAATAGATTTAAATATGATATATAAATGTTTAATGTGTATACATGTCCCTAATTTAATGATAACTTCATTTTACGAGATATATATCTAACTGACTATCTGAACATCAAGAATTGCATAAATTTATATCTAAATACATTTTTTTATAGCAATTTAGTATATGTAATTACATAGACCATTCTTTATTTTCATTATCATAAAATTAAAATAAGTGGATAATTCTATAAATATCAGATTTTATAATTTATATACTTATAGAACTATCAAGAAAAACAAATTATAAATTAATATTTAATATTAATGAAATCATATAAATAAATTGTGATTGGTTTATTGATTTTATTAAATAATTGAAATCGAATGTTTTTTAAATTTTAAATTGTTCCAGAACATACATATTTTGTTTAACTTTTAAAGTATGAATAGTTTACTTGACGAATTTTCAAATATAAAATATATATTTCAGTATGTTGTACATGTAAGTTTTGATTATCAACCAATTATTGGATAACAGACAAATCCGTCAGTCAGTTAAAACATAGGACCAGGCACATATATGCATCGGTTCAAGTTATCATACCTCATCAGCACAACAAGATAACATCAAATTCATAGAAGTAATATATAAAAGAAAGATTGCATGCGAAAACATAGTACAGGAAGAAAGAATTAGTTTCTAGAAAGAAAGATATGAAGCGATTTTAATCTGATAGTTTAAAGGGAGACAAAGAGTGTATATACCTACTCCATTGTAATCGATTCTGAGACATGTCACACAGGTACACATAAATAGCAGTAAAATTTTACCAAATTCACTGATAGAGTTATGTATTTTTTTATTATAATTACTAAGTAGAATACTTTAACAATAACTAAGAAATATCTATAAATATTCATAGTATATTGAACTTCATATAAAAACAACAATGATAATCAGAAATGAAGAGGCTTTATACAGTTTATGAGTATTTATCATACAACGAATGAGTAAAATATCAACTTTTGAAAGAATATTACTACATTATGTGTATTTTTATATAAATAATATTAATTAAGAAAGAAAAAACAAAACAAACAAATGAATGAATGAATTACTAATTGTACTAAAAAGACCTTTTATCTTTATCAGTTGAAAGATATAATAATGTAATTCATGTTTATTTTTAAAAAAAGTCAATAATTATAACAACTTATTTGAAGGAAAAATTTAAATTCTTATTATTGTCATGTATCAATCACTTAATTTATATTATCTCTTCATTATTAACTATGCTGATTTGTCATTTAAAATGAAACATGCCTGAAAAAATAAGTATTTTTCACTTTTTCTATTTAAACACTGAAAATACGAAGTTCAGAGAAGGGATCTCTTTTCAATAAATTTATTATCAAGCTGTACAATCCTATATATATATATATATATATATATATATATATATATATATATATATATATATATATATATATATATATATATATATATATATATATATATATCAGTCAGTAAGCTGCAACGTAGAACTAGGCACATATATGCGTCGGTCCAAGTTGCCATACCGCATTAGCACAAAAACATGATCATCGGATTCAAAGAAGTAGTTAATTCAGTGGTGGTAATATATAGAAGAAAGATTGCATATAAGGTGATAGTACAGGAATAAAGAATTAGTTCCTAGAAAGAAAGATATGAAGTGATTAAATCTCTTAATTTAAAGGAAGACAGAGAGTGTATACACCGACGCCATTGTGATCGATTCTGAGCCATGTCACCAAGAGTCTCCAACCATTGGTTATGATAGTCACGCGGACCCCAACCAAGTAGTCTGCATCTACCAACATGGTTCAGACCAGAAGTTAGTGACTTCAAGCACTGATGCCACGTTTTGTTTTGGCCGCCCCTAACTCACCTCCAATTATCCCCAACACCGGTTAGCATTTCGCGTCGTGGTAATCGGTGTTCAGGCATACGCAACACGTGGCCCAACCATCTCAGTCGATGAAGATCCACAAACTCATCAACTGATTTACCATCATTCCCTAATACCCTGCGTCTGACCTCACTATTACTTACCCGGTGATCCCAGCAGATGCCAGCAATATTTCTAAGACATGTGTGATTAAATACTAGTAGCTTACGAATATTTTCTACACTTAGTGGCCACCTTTCGCAGCTACAAAGTAAAAAAGAAAGAACTGCTGTGCTGTGTACTCGTCCATTAATTGATAAACGGATATCTCACCTTCGCCATAGGTGACGTAAGTTGGCGTAAGCCGAACGACCTTTCTGAATCCGTGATGAGATTTCGTCAGACACCGACCCATTAGGACTGTTCAGATTTCTAAGATAAGTGTTGTCGACGCGTACGACTACTTCACTCCCTATTCTTAGTTCAGGTGTTGACGTACGCCAGCCATGAAGCAACAACTTACATATGGAAAGGGAGAAACGCATCCCAAACATCCTGGCATTGTTACTCGGTACTACCAAAATACTCTGCATTTTATCGGGAGGTCAATCCCTGAAAATTCAGTCAACGAAAACGCTATTTCCAGCAGTAAGTCTATGATGAAATCGATCGAAATTAAGGATAGTGGACAGTCGTGACGGACAACACTTGAGGTTGAAAAATCAGATGACAACTTTCCATAAGCACTGAACCGACTAATAGTGTTCGAGTAAAAATCTTTCACAAGGTTTATGTACTTCTGAGGAACGCCTTTCAATGACAGACACTGACACAGAACCTCTCGGTCTACACAGTCAAATGCCGCTTTTAAGTCAAGATAAACTATCATTGTCGGACGCCGATAAGCATGTCTGTGTTCTAAGATCTGGCGAATGGTGAATATGTGGTCGATGTAGCCAAGACCAGGTCTGAAGTCAGCCTGATTTCCTCGTGTTTGCAGTTCACGAGTCTCAGTTAGGCGCCCGATAATTATCAAGACTAGTATTTTAGATGCTATACTAGTTAAACTAATCCCTCTATGGTTATTACAGGATGACTTTGACTCCTTCTTATATGTTGAAACAATCAATGATTGCGACCAGTCAGATGGGATTACGTCCAACTCCCAGATTTTAGCTAAAATATTGGTCAACCTAATCGCTAAAACTAGACCACCGTCCTTAAAGACCTCGAGCCAATCCATCTGAACCAGCTTCCCTTCCTCGTTTTAGATTAGCTACAGCTTTTTGAACTTCAATTAGAGTTGGGGGCCTGTTTCAATGTTCCGTTCAGGATGTTTGGAAATGGTAGGTAGCTGTGAAATAGTTGGAGGCAAGCCCGATTTCTCCTTAAAGCGTTTCGTCCATTGTCCTGAACGTCTGGACTGAGAGAAGATAAGAATGTTGTCTTTTTCGGATATTGCCTTACACTTGACTCCTTAATTTCGGTTTCTTTTATTAGTCTGAAGAGTTGTCTGGTGTTACCTACAGCCACTTCCATTTCCATCTGTTTTGCTTTCGTTACCCACCACTACTCACGATCGTTCCATAGACTTTGGGCTATTCTAGATCTGATTTGTTTTCGCTCATCACCGTGTTCTGAGCCTGATGGGATAAGTTTACGAGAGTCTAACAGTGCAAGAGATGTAGCAGAAATCCACTGGTTATTTGTGGTCCTTTGTTTCAAATCACTAGTAGATGTCGCTGCTGTTTGTATATCTTTCTAAGCAACATCCGGGTCAGCCTCATTTTCAGAATTGCCCAAGTTGTTCCTGGAATTTACTTTTGGCTTTCTCGTCACTGAGTTTAACTCGAATGGGTCTTTTTAATGTGGCTTCACCGTGTTTAGTGAAGCACAAGCAAATGCGTGCTTATATTAGATTATGAATGGAGTCCAGGCATGTATTCCAGAACGAGCGACACTCTTCTTTCGACCCTCTCCGACGATGACTAATGGCAATATGGTCTATTTGAGTCCATCGTTGGTTTGGTGCAGGCGATCGCCATTTTAGACGATTTCTCTCCTTATGCTTAAAATTAGTTCTTGTTAAAAATGAACGATTGTCTAAGCACAGTTGCAGCAGATGATCACTGTTATCTGTTCGCTGAGCCGGAATACCAAAATACCCACCTAAATGTCTTTCTTTTTGGTTTGAGCTACCTGCTTGGGCTTTAAATTCACCTTCTACAAGTACTATGTCCGAGTGTTTAGCTTTTTGAAGAACTCCAGAAAGATTTCTGTAAAAATCATTTTTCACTCCATCCGGGCTGCAGTCAGTGGAAGCGTAGGTAGAAATCATGAAAAGGTAACAACGTGTTCTTACGGAGTCGTTTAGTCGGACAGCATATAGTCGACCGTTAACGCGGATCCATTTTAATAGTTTTTGTTCTGTCCTCGTACTTAGTGCTATGCCTACACCCGCCAATCCATGAGAAGTAGCCATCAAGTCACCAGGTAAACGGAGGGTATATCTCGTCGACTGCCCGTTTTGGCGAGTTGAGGTCAAGTGAATGACCACACTATGATCCTTTATTCATGTTTCAACGACACAGCAAACATCAATAGTATGAGATTCTAGGGTTTTAGCCAAGGAGACCTGCTTGCCGATTTGACGTAGTGTGCGTACGTTGAAGGCTCCAATGTGTAGTTTGGAGCGAGGTTTCAGTGAACCTGGGACAGTATTTCGCAAACTAGAATCGTTGGCCATAGTGACACTTGAGGAGGAAACCAAGAGAGGAAGTTTAGGTTTAAAAGTCGATGTAGGAGGAATAATAGGAATTGAAGAGGGAGGTTGATTATGAATACAGTGGTCTTGAGTGCTGTTAGAGGTATGAGGGCGGTTATCACTTCCTAGTTGCCCACACCGTGGAAGGGTTCTTCTGGTGGTACCTGAAAAGCAAATTATATTAGAGGTGGTTATAGTGACCTGAGAGCCTGACCGCAGTACCCAAGGGACATCTGCTTAAGGTCGGTCACACATGACCTTTTTATGAGTAGTTTTCGTGTTAGCTCCGTACTTGTTGAAACCTTACCGCCAGAGACGGATATCCGTGGGATAAGGCAAGGTGTGCATATTTAGGGTCAACCTTTTCTAACCCCTTCCTTCCTTGTGAGAATGCAGCATCGCTGTCACACTGGTTGTCTGAAGGAAACACCTTACTGCTGTCACACCTCTGTACAGTCAGCAGTACGACTTTGCCTTCGGACCTTGGATTTGTTGCTTTTAGTCTTACCGTTCTCCAATCGACCTGTCTGGCATGGTAGGAGCTTG